ATTCATCTAATGATAATAAAACCATCTAAAAAAAATGGAAAACTATTGTAAACTATTGTTTTAATATTTTTATTAAGTGTTCCTTGATGAGTAGAATGGAAGAGCCAATTTCATTTGATTTGAAGCTATATAAAAAAATATTAAAATTATGTTACGAAATGACAATTGTGACCATAAAATCGGCCCAAATTCAATTTGCGCCATTGCGTTTACACTATTTCATTAACCCATAGCTAACAAGATCTTTTTCAGTATGCAATATAATATATAAGCTATTATAAAGTAATATAATATCACGCAATATAGTATACTATAAACTAATATATTGTTAAACTATTAGTTAAATATTATTTATATTAAATATAAAAGTATCTTTGGTATATTAAATATTAACTAAATATAAATAATTTATTAATTATATTATTTAATATATAAATATAATATTATATAAAAAGTGTAAAGCATGACTACATACACATCTATCTTAAAAATGGATGCAAATAGGTGTTCCATCTAAAAACAACGGAAACTAACGATCTAAATATTTTTGTATTAAAATTATTATTTTTAATTTTTAAAATCTATTTACTTTTTTATGTTCATGATCTCCATGTTAATGACTTCGTAAAAATAAAGTCCAAAAATCCATCTCAAAAATAGATTTAATGAGATGCCGGCATTTACTATGGTAAAATTCTCTCTCTCCATACGTTTCCTGTAGTTCCACGTCACCAGTCTTACTCCTACACATTATTGGGGTGGGCCTCTCACTCTTCCTATATGCCAAAACACATACCCAAAATAATCCGCATGGAGCGGCTGCCAACGCTTGTCCCGTTCTGAAAAGCTCGTTGCAACTTTCCGGACTTTATGCTCGTGTCTTTTTCTCCACTCTTGTTATTTCAATTTTGACTCCAGTTTGTATTGCAAACATTGAACAAGTTTTATTTTATTTTTTAATAAATTTCATGTACGGACTGTGCTAAATCTCAATGTGGGTTTGAGCGAGTTTAATATTTTTAATATTATATAAATTTTATAGATAGTTTGATATGTGTATAAATCTTTGAGTGAACTATAGGTATTATGTTATACGTCATTAATTATGTTGGTAAAGTCGTACGAGAGTTCTAGTAAATTCATCATAATTTTTTGAGGCTTGATTAAATACCATAAAACTCAATAGAATGTGCTAGATTTGGTCTAAAGTTATCCATGGTCCCATAAATACAAGCAATTGGTTGAGAGAAAGAAAGATATATGTAGTTGGTTGAATTCTCCCCTTTTTCTTCTTGAGTGGATGGTGCTCCTATCCAATCTCCTTGATTCCTTTAGGCCATCTCCTTGATTATTTGTCAACAAATCTTCATATTCGAGCGTTTTAGGTTCATACTACCTGAAGTTATTAAAATCAGGCCCGAGGTCAAACCGGTAGAACCAGTTACTGGAACCTTGTTCGGTCTAGTTAGTACTAAAACGTGATGTACACAAAACTAGTCAAAGAGTTGTACCAGTTCGATCGCTGGTTTTGCCAGTTCTATCGTACCATCCAATTTGGAAAGTTGAAATTAAAGTTCCATGTGTTTTGCATATTTATAGCCAGTTTTTTACAAGATAATGCAAATGTTTTACAAGATTTATTTTTTCTTGTTTTTCTTTCTTTATGCTGATTGCTTAGCAACTTTTTATTGCCAAAAGTTATACCTAGAAGTAATGATAAGACAACAAACTATATCTTGTTTTCCTTTTTGCAAGACATGAAGCTAATTTTGTCAAAGATTTGCCTTTTATTATCCTCACTCACACACTCACTCTCTCTCTCTCTCTCTCGTTCGTGCACTTTTCCACTTTAATCTATAGTAAATATATCTTATTTAACGATGTTTAATATTGCTACTTTACTAAATTGAAAAATCCAATGTTTGATTATTTAGGTTAGAATTTCTACAATAAATGCAAAATTAAATTCTTATTTTGGTTGTATTTTTCAATTGCTATTTCTTTTTATAACTTTAGTTGAATTTAAAAATTTACTAAATTTTTAATTTTTATGTATTAAAAAATATAATAATTGGTCTGACCATCGCCAATTGGACCGACTTTGATTAGACCAGTCCCTTCCTTCACCAATTTAAGAAACGATCTGGTCTTGATAATACTAATCATATCTCTGCTCTACAATATTTCAAACGGCTTGATGCTTACGAGCCTAGCAATACTTTCATTTGGATAAAAGTGGTATTGTTTAGAGTCAATTGGTTGTACACCCAAACAAAATCAATTACTAGGGATGACAACAAGTTGGGTATGGGTTGGGTTCGGCTGGACCCAGACCGCAAGCCAAATAATATCTGCGTACATGATTTGGACCTGGACCCGACCCATCGGTTCAAAAGTTGGACCCATACCTGTATCTGTCAAATCCTGGGTCTGATTGGGTCCATTGCCACCCTCACTATGAGCATCTTTTTTTTTTTTCATCTTTTTTTTAACAACATATATCTAGGGTTACGGGTTAAGGGAAAAACGCATATCTCTTTGTAATTAGATAAAAACAGAGAGGCGTGATGAAGAGAACGTATTGTAACCCTATTCTTATTGCCACTAAAGAAGCTCAAATCTCTCGTGGATGTAGGCACGTTGCCGAACCACGTATATCTTTGTGTTGTGGTTGGTTGTCCCTTTCTTTTGTGTTTATTTTTTCTTTCTTGTTTTTGTGGATTGTATTTCGTTTCTACAAATTGGTACAGAGCCTACAAAGTTATTACGCGTTCTTGGGTTTGCTACCACAATGACAGGAAAGGGCTCAAGCATCAAATATGACATTGAGAGGTTCAATGGAAAGAACAATTTCACCCTTTGACGATGAAAGATGAATGATATTTTGATACAGCAAGATCTGGCTAAGGCTTTGCTAGGCAAATAGAAGAAACTAGCAAAGATGGACGATGAAGAGTGGCAAAAGATGAAGGAAAAGATGGTAAATGCGATTCATTTGAATTTCTCAGATGGCGCCTTGCGTTATGTGGAGGATCTAGAAACTTCTTCTGAGGTTTGGACAAAACTCGAGAGGATCTACATGACGAAATCTCTGACGAACAAGTTGTTCTTGAAGAAACAGTTGTATTCTCTTCAGATGGAAGAAGGCACAAATTTACTTGAACATCTCAGCGAGTTCAACCAGATCATAAGTCAGTTAGCAAGCCTTGAGGTTGAAATCGATGATGAAGACAAGGCCCTACTTCAGTTGGCTTCGCTTCCAGGATCATACGGTCACCTGGTTACAACTCTACTTTACGAGAATGAGACTCTTGAGACGGACGAAGTCACTGCTACTCTTATGTCAAACGAGACAAAGAAGAAGACTAGCAGTAATAAATCTTAAGGAAAATGTTTCTTTGGAAAACGCAAGGAGAGTCATGAAAGGGGCATATTAAGTCAAAAGAGGTCTGGAAGCAAAAGTCGGTCAAAATCGAAGGGAAAAGGCGAGTTTATTTACTAATACTGTAAATAGGAAGGTCATATGAAGAGAGACTGCCCGAAAAGAAATGAGGATATAAAGAGGATAGAAACAAAAAAAACATCTGATGAAGCTAATGTGACCGATAGCTCTGACAGAGATGATAGAGATCTTCTCTCTATATCTTCTGGTAAGAATCAATTTACTGATTCTTGGATTTTAGATTCTGGTTGTTTTTTTCATATTTATCCTAATTGAAAATGGTTCGAAACCTAAAAGTCACATAGTGGTGGGTCTATTCTAATAGGGAATGATGCGGTATGCAAAACCATTGGATCGTGAGTTGGGGATGGAGCAAGAAGGTATTGTGTTGCATTGTGATAGTTAGAGTGCTATAAATATTGCAAAGAATTGAGTGTTTCATGCAAGGAAAAAATACATTGATGTGAGATATCACAAGTTCAGAAAGCTTGTATAAGAAGGAATCGTTCACCTAAAGAAAATTCATACAAATGACAACCCTGCAGATATATTTACAAAGCTTGTCACTACGGAAAAGTTTAAGTTTTGCTTGGACTTGCTTAATGTCTCTCATTATTGAGAGTGAGGGAAGCACCTCATGGCAGGTCGGGGTACAGTAGCATACCTTTATGGAGGTACAGGGATAAAGACATCTTCAGGGTAGCTCAATAAAATTCAAGCTAAGGTGGAGATTGTTGAGGATTGATATCTTGCAATATGATGAATAGATCTGCCAAGGTGGAGTCAAAAAGACTATTCCGGAGGGCCGTTAAAAGCCCAAAAGGCTGAAGGCCCATAAGGCTTGAGACCTGGAGGAGTCGTCTTGATAGGTTAACTTTATGGACTCGGCCCCTACGGGGGTTCGGGGCCAGTAGGCACCGAAGGAAAATTCAGATATATCTGTATATGGGATTCGATATATCTAGGAATTGATATATATATATCCGTACAAGGGTATTTCGGTAATTTATACCATCTATCTAAGACTCGATATATATTGTTGCGATTGGGGGTTTATCTAGGGTTAAGGGTTAAAGAAAAAATGCATATCTCTTTATAATTAAATAAAAATAGATAGGCGAGAGGAAGAGAGCGTATTGTAACCCTATTTTCATTGCCAGTAAAGAAGCACTAATATCCAGTGGACGTAGGCACGTTGCCGGACCACGTATATCTTTGTGTTGAAGTTGGTTTTCATTTTTTTTTGTATTTGTTTTTTCTTTCTTGTTTTGGTGAATTGCGTTTCGTTTCTACAGGGTCTCCGGTCAGGTCTGGGTCCATTGACACCGTATCAATTACGTTGTTGGAAAATTGTTTGATAGTGATCCTGTTGTCTTGATTTCACTAACATGTAGTGTAGGGAATCCATATCCGTAGGTATCATTTCTCACCCTGACAGCAGCTTTTCCATATGCATACAACATATTTAGACTTTATGGCCCAAGACAAAACATCCTCAAAGATTCCCTACTCTCTCCGAGTACGTTTCCAATCAATTATTTACTCCTCCATATCCCCTCATAAACCACTCAACCAAGGTTTTACTGAAGAAGAAACCCCTTTTGAAGTCCTAATTTCCATGTCTCCACAGCAAATATGCCTGCTAGCCCTTGCCTTACCTTTGCTTCTCCTCATATTGAGGCTCATCAGAAGGCAACAGGGATGGAGGGCTAACCTCCCTCCTGGTCCCTTGAATTTGCCCATTATCGGAAGCTTACACCGCCTTGGCAGTGCGCCACACTTGTCGCTCGCCGAGCTTGCCCGTCAACATGGCCCCATCGTTTACGTCCGCCTCGGTGAGCTCCCAACTTGCGTGTTATCGTCCGCTGAGATGGCAAAAGAGGCACTCAAGACGCATGATGCCGCTCTCGCGAGCCGACCGACACTCTGTGCAGCACAGCAACTGTTCTATGGGTCCACTGACATTGCATTCGCGCCCTATGGCCCTTATTGGAGGCAGGTGAGGATCATTTCCCTGTTTTAATAGGTGATTTGGGTTCGAGCCGGATGAGAAAACGGATGGAAATATATGAGGCCTCGGGCATTGCTTTATGTTGAGGCATTCCACATTTAAGAAACCTTAAATTGTATAGGATCTAAACCAATATATAGGACTGCACCAATTTTGAAGTACAAACCAATATAGTAATTCTGAAATTTAAATCCTGCAATCTGGACATGGAATTTTTTATTCGGATGGCGAATTGGATGCCACCAAACCAGTACAAGGTAAATGTTGGTCCGGGCCCTGTCCTTCCCCCTACACCATATTTTTTTTTGGTCAAGTTTATCTAATACTTTTTTATTCCCCACAACACAAATTACTATTTAAATTTTATTTTATTTTTTTATTTTAAATATTTTTTGAACTTGAAATCGCCGATCCAATGATCTAACATGGATTTGCGGGGTGGACGATCCACACTCCACTGATTCAGATTTTGAGAGAAGTGGCAAAACTACCACAGGTATCCTAAAAAGTATTGTTTTAAAAAAATGGATTAGTGACCTCGTTTGTCCATCTGGAAAACTATTTTGGATTGGCGGATCGATGTTCCAGATGAGTGAATCGGCCAGATCAGCCTGATCCAGCTTTAAAAAAATATAAAAACATCACTAAAATTTCTTGAAAATCTAAAGCTTATAGTTTTCCAAAAAAAACAAAAAAAGTATTACATTACAGGTTTTCATTATTTTAACAAAAATACATAAATACTAACAACACGTCCCATGTTAGAATGTTTATCCATTATAGAATGTTTATCCATTACACTCATTCTACAAAGTGAAATTTAAAATAAAATTAATTACTAAAAATAGGCCTATCTAACTTTAAAAAAAATTATTTTTTATTTTTATAATCTATAATGCCACTTGCATTTGTAAATAGATCTTACATACTTATTTTTTATTTTCTCTTTTTCTTGAAAATTGATTTATTGAAATAATTATTAATTTTAATTCTGATTTTTTTTAATATTATATTTTTCTAGGAGTATCGTATTTATTGTATAGTTCGGACAGAATCAGTTCCCGATCAGAGAGAGAGAAAGAGACGGGGCAGAGGGAGAGAGAATGAAAAATAAAAAATCCAATCCGAGAGACGGAGAGAGAGAGAATAAAACTAGAAGCACTGAATCCACGAGAAACTTGTGTGTGTGAAAATGAAAAAAAGGAAAACCCAGTCCAAGAGAGAATTGGTGAAAGGAAAAACCCAATCCAAGAGAAAGAATGCGCGACTGAGAGTCAAAAAAAGAAAAGCCGAATCTAATACAATCTCAAGAAATGAAGACGGGATATTGGATTGAAATAACCAACATTTGATGCAAGTCAAATTAAATAAAATCAAACATAACATAAAAGAAATATTGGATTGGTTAATGATTTGCAAATTTATTGTGGGGATTGCAAAATTGTTTCACCAATCCAATTATACTTTAAGCTTTTTTATGTTTTTCCTTATTTAAAAAAGATCTTTGTTTTCCCTGCATCTCATTCGTAAAGGGAGTTAAGTGTAACAGGAAAAAAACAGATTGTATCCCCTCTTCTATTTCTCTCTAAAATTTTACCATTTTTTTTTTTGTAGAAAGGGGTAAATTTATTAATCCTTGGTAGCGTATGAATTATTGAAAAAAAGTTTGGTGAGGGGACCATCTATTTGTCCTTCATTGTTAACACTCAAGAGAGAGAATTAATATTAAAAAGATCATCGTTGATTGCGGGTCGAAACTACAAAGCAGTTACGCTCTGGTTGTGGGGCGCTTGGTAAAAAGTTTCAAAACAAAAAAATTATTTTTAAGGAAAAAGTTTATATAAGGTGTCAACTATAGAAGCACCTAAAAAACCTATTGAAAGATGATGTTTTATTAATAGAAACTTCTCCAATTGATTATCATGATCTTGATATACATGAATATGAAAGAAAAATTGAATTTCAAGTTTTAAACATTGTGCATCTTATCACATTATCTGGACTATCCATTTTCAAGATTTTCGAATGCTCATAGATCTACTAGATTTGCACCATTTTCAGAGCTTTCAATTTCATTATAGGGGTGAAATATAGACTCTTAGGCCATAATAAGAGTTTTGGCATTGAAAATACATCTTCTAATGAGATTTTGAGGTGCACCATATCGTGATTGTCTAATGAGACCAATTACCTTTGATACAAGGTGGTTACAATTAATCTTGACCACTGGTTGTAAAAGTGGGTGGCTGCATATATTTCATTGATTAAGCTCAAAGTTCAAAAGATTTTCTCGAACTTTGTGACACACTTAGATGTCAGATTTCACATCAGATGGTTATAAATAATTGTGACCTCCTAAGAGCAAAAGTAAATAGTCTCATTGTTGACAATCCCCCTTAAAAGGTGCACCTATCCTAGAATTTCCATAGTATTAGGTCCCTTTATTTTCTTGTGACATCTGTTCCTCTCTTAATCGTGGCTTAATATTGTATGATAAGTATACCAAATTTTTCTTATGCCTTTGATATCCCTTATATATAAATAAGGGAAAATATCTCTATATCCTTTATTTTTAGGTTTCATTTCTTGATAAACTCAAGGTTTCAAAAGATATCTTCCAATCCTTTGCCCCTTTTAACTTATTTTTTAACCTAAACAAATGTGAGAAAGACATGATCTTTTTAAACCCAATCATCTCTCTTCACTTATATATTCCAAATTTCTCTTTCTCTCTCTTCATGCCTCTCTCATTATCTCTCTCCTCTCATATTTTTCCAAACACCTCCCTCTCTCTCTTTCGGGTAACGTCTCACCTCCATGAAACCCGTCTCTCTCTATAAAAATTTGGGAGGATGGCTACTAGAAAAAGCTCGTCTTTTTAAATTTGTTTGACCTAAAAAAAAGTTTAAATTAGTTCTGAAGATTAGAAGAAATAAAATCTACAATTTTTATACTCCAAGATATCTTTAAAACCTTGAAGCTATTGTGAAATGAAACCTAAAAATAAAAAATACGGAGATATTTTCCTTATAACTAAATCCGAATCCATTTATAACAGTTGCATTGAACGTAAAATTGACTGAGTTAAAGTTGTTTACAGTGGTTGCTTTTGAAGAAGCATTCGCTAATGTTATCGTTACTTCAGTACATTACTAAATTGTCTAAATTTTTGCTCTACACGTACAAATTGTTGCCAATGGTATGTATAACGACAAGGCCTTTATGGTAGCCTGTTACATGCCTTGTTGTTTTATTATTGAAAAGGTTTTTTTGGTCTAAAGATAATATGAAAAGATTACCTAGGAGATCTAGAATCTGTGAATAAGATCCTTTCACTTAAATACCTCCTCAATTATACTCAAAATGTGCCAATTTATTGTTTGGAATCTTCAACTACCAGTGTTATTTTAGAAATTTCTCTCATAATACATCTATGTTATTGAGAAAATATCCCACTTGTTCCTGATTCTAAACCCTAAGCATGCGATTTTTTTGAGGAAAACACATGTTCTTAGTTTGGATCACGAAACAATTTGAGATAATTTTATCGTTTAGGTCAGAGTACCTAAATCAAGTGAAATGATATAAATCATCTTTTACGGAAGTAGGAAACTTGAGCACATAATGTTATTTATGCCATCTGGCTTGGGCCATCTAAAATCGATAAATTACTGGGTATATCCACCTTGTACAGGATTCTATATATTGAAGTACATCTTTTCAGAGAAAATAATAGAGGAAGGCCTTGCGTTAAATGGTCTTTTTAAAGTAATCATTTAGTTGAATCGATAACCGCAGTGGTTTTCTAAGCTAAGGTTAACATTTTACTCTTTTTTTAGAGTGATTTATGTACGGTCCCTATAATTTTTTCTAAAATACAAAATGCTCCACTTTCAACCCACTTTTTTTATTTTTTCTAAAATTGCTCCTTGGTATAAGGATAGCATCCTCAATCTGAATTTTAATTTATTATTTTTTTTCTTTTAGTTTTTTGTTTATAAGGCATTACCTCAAGCTTTAGGGCAGTGCGCTACTAACAAAAAAAACCTAAAAAAAACAAAAACTAAAATTCAATGCAAGGATGTCTACAGATCGAAAGGTAATTTTGAAAAAAAAAAGGGCAAGTTGATCGACTTTCTTTGTAATTTCTACCTGTAAATGAAGCATTTTCGTCGTTACGTAAATTGCACTTTCTGTTACATTTTAGTCGTTACGTAAATTGCACTTTCTTTTAAAAGAATTCGAAAATCAAACTAGTGCTCGTCTTTCATTTGAGTAATGGTTTTCTCCCTATAAATGAAGCATTCGGTTGACACGTAAATTGCTCTTTCTTTTAAGAGAATTCGAAAATCGAACTAGTGCTCGTCTTTCATTTATGTAATGGTTTTCTCCCCAGGTGAGAAAGATATGCATCCTGGAGCTATTCAGCACAAAGAGGGTGCAATCCTTCAGATCCATGAGAGAACAAGAAGCAGCACATTTGGTGAGCTCAATACGTTCATCATGCAGGGTTGGTGAAGTCGACCTCACCGAACTTCTAGGCCCTTTCGCTAATGGCTTACTGTGCCGTGTTGCATTAGGGAAGAACTACTGCGAAGGTGGGGAGTATGAGAGGGAGTTCAAGCGGATGTTAGAAGAGTACCAAGTATTGTTAGGAGGTTTTAGTTTGGGAGATTTTTTCCCTTCTTTAGAAGGATGGTTGAATTTGATCACGGGAATGGCATCGAGGATGAAGAAGACTTTCGAGGATTTTGATCGATTTTTTGATCGAGTGATTGAGGATCACCGCAGGAAATCGAAGGTTCCTGGTGGTGAGAACCATGTGAAGGACCTCGTTGATGTGCTCTTGGAGATTCAAAGTGATGGGCTTGAGCAGATTCCTCTTACCATGGACAACATCAAAGCTATCATATTGGTACCAGCTCTCATACTCTCTCTCTATATATATAGACTCTCTCTCTCTACAGGATCATTTTATCTCAGGTACGAAGAGTTCACAGTAACCTTGATTAATATGTGAAATCTGATCGTCTTGAATGCATAGCAAAGTTAAAAAAAATTTCTGTGGTAGCGAGCCTGATGAGTAGAACACCTCCAGCCATCCAACTTCACATCTAGCTGCTGAAAACCATTGTAACCTTGAATTACAAAAGTTAAATGTTGTCCTTTTGTTCTGCTCATTACTTTAATTGAGTGATATGTTCCTTAGAAATCAATTGCAATTAAGCCTCTTAGCGCACCATTCAAGTACTGAAGCGGTAGTGAGAGAGAGCAGACTTACCAAAGGGTCACATTCCATAACATCACTCTTTGCATTCCTCTATGATGTTGCTCCACTAAATCAATATGATATAGAGTGTCCGCACTCAATCTTGATCATCGTGGACTTTTCCCAGATTCAATCTATATTTGCAATCCTCATGTACTCCGAAGACAAGTTCACCAAACCCCACTTTTCCCTTCTTTTTTTTTTTTGATGTCATTTAATGTTTGATTTCTTTGATAAAACAGTTGAGTGCATAAAACATTGTTTGAATTTTATAATTTAATGAGAAAGAAAATCATGATGAAATTTTTAGAGTGAGTATGATTTGCTAGGTTGCACCAGCAAACAATATAAAAAAGTTTCAAAAACTAAAAATAAGAAAAATACCCCTAAATACTTCAAGGGTATATTGTTATTTGTTTTTGTCAATTGTTTATATTTTTTAGAGTGATTTACCTATGGGTCTTAAATTTTTTTAAAATAAAAAATCTCCATTTGTAGGTGGAAATTACAAAGGTCTTTCAACCTTTTCTTTTTTTTTTTTTCAAAATTGCTCCTAGGCCCAAGGAAATTCTCGCACCAAATTTTAATTTTTTTTTAAGTTTTTTCGTTAGTAGGGCACTACTTTTAAGTTTAAGGCACTGCCCTACTAACAAAAACACTAAAAAAAATTAAAATTACCGAGGATTCCATCCTCGGATCAAAGGGTAATTTTGAAAAAAATAAAAAAAAGGTACGTTGACCCACCTTTTTTGTAATTTTTCACTATAAATTTGAACACAAACTATTCTACTATAAAATTGTAAAATTAAATACATGGGCATACACTTAATTGTCTGGTCAAGAATCAGACAATTGAGAGCAAAACGTATTTTAACGTAGGAAAAACATTAGTTCTTTTTAGATCAGACAACGAGAAAACACAATCAAATATTTTTTGCATGTGTGAAACCACATAAAAAGTTTACCCACCCCCATATGCCCTAGTTGGACAAACAAGTAGTTAACCTCCAAACCATGTATCATTTCATTTCCTAACGTTACTTGATTATTTTGGTTTTTTAAATTGCAATCAATCGAATTGGAAGCATTGCATATTAATTCTTTAATAATATGCAAATTTCACTGTTTGGTGAAAATCAAGATGCTCCCTGAATATGATATTTTATTGAAAGAAACCGCAACTGATTTTACTAGAATAAAAAAGGCTTTTAAAGGAATGCCTTTTTAAGTTCTCTTATAATATTAGAGTTTTTTTATTTTTTGCTTTACTTTTTCTGATAGTTCAGCCACAAGAATCATACTTCACGTTGTGGTTTGTGTTAGCGTAGGATATGTATCATGAAATCAGAGCCATAGACTCCGAGCTCTGTTGGGTTGTCATGATTGCTTTGGCAAATTGGTCTCTTGATTGTGATTTGTTCTTCGCACATCGAAATAGTGGAAATTGTTTTTCATTTGTTAATCAATAGCGATATAAGTTCCAATGAACTGAAGTAGAGGAAACCAATAGATGAAAGAGATATTCAAGATTTTGGATCACTCTTGCATGCCTATTCACGGTTACAGCTTACAACAGGCTCTAGTTACAATTTACGAAATATAGTTTGATATTGCTAATCATAAAGTGTTTGATCTTTTCTTTTTATAGAGATTAGATCCATAGCTGAGCTTTCCTTATTTAAGCATGAATAAATATGTAGGATTTCGGCCTGATCTTGATTGTAATTCTGTTTGACTTTTAAAAATGAAACCAACGCCTAGTTCAGAATTACCCTACCCCCATCCCTCCCCCAAAACCAACAAAAAAAAGAAAAGAAAACAAAAGTGACAATGTAGTCAATGGCTTGTTCATCTTTCACGATCTTTACTTTTCTGACAAATTCATACGATTGTAATTGCAAGCTAAATCAATCGTTGTTGTTTTTTTTTTTTTTTCCTTCTAAGGTTCTACAAAATTGAAATTGTTTCTATTGCCCATATCTCTATGTTCTGTAATATATTGACATCATCTTTCAATAAAATGTTTTGGAGCGTTGGAATTTGCATATCAACCAACAATAGTGGTTATTTTTTAATAACAATTTATGAAATGAATCATTATCTCTAATATCTCTATCTATGTATTCTTTGATACAATATTCATTGGCTTTCTAGGACATGTTTGCCGCCGGTACAGACACAACATTCATAACCCTCGACTGGGGCATGACAGAGCTCATTAGGAATCCAAGGGTAATGAAGAAAGCCCAAGACCACATTAGGAGCAAAATTGGACATAAAGAACAAATCGAGGAGAGCGATTTGCAAGAACTAGATTACTTAAGTGCTGTAGTAAAAGAGATCTTTCGGTTACACCCAGCTGCCCCGGTGTTGATTCCTCATTTATCCATGGAAGATGTGAAGATAGGTGAGTACAATATTCCAGCAAAAACCCGATTCTTTGTCAATGTCTGGGCAATTGGAAGAAATCCCAAATCTTGGGATAACCCTGAAGAGTTTTGCCCTGAGCGATTTATGAATAGTTTGATTGATTTTAAGGGCCAAGACTTTGAGTTGTTACCATTTGGTGCTGGTCGTCGGAGTTGTCCTGCCATTACATTTGGGGCAGCCACAGTGGAGCTTGCCCTTGCTAATCTCCTCTACCACTTCAACTGGGAGCTACCCCCCGGGGTGAGACCAGAAGAATTCGACTTGACGGAAGTATTTGGTATAACAATGCATAGGAAAGAACACTTAGTTGTCGTTGCCAAACCATATAACTGATCGATGAGCATAACTTCTGTTTCAGTTGTGATGTGGCTATCTAAGTTTTATTGATGGTCAGGGGGTAACAAGTGCAAATTGTGCGGACCATACTACAATCCATTTGCTGGCGAAGGATAATTAGGAGCAGAGTCATATTCGTTGGAGCATGTTGTTAGAGGTTAGGTAAAGGAACATAGTTCCTTTCAGATTTCCCGTTGGAATTCTGTAAACTTTTCATGCTTGGGTATCTTGGAATTCATGTGTGATATAATGTTCAAATAGCTATATGTGCTGTTATTTAAGTGTACAGTACCTAGCTCCATGGAAGACTTCAAACTCCAATATGTTATGGCTTTTGTGTAATTTTTACACTCCCATATATAAAAGAACCCCTTTCAAGATTTCCTTTTTAATCTTGATTCCTATTTAAGTCCCTTAGATTTATCTTTCGAAGATATTCTCAATTACATTTTATTTGAAATATCCAACCTGTTCTGCTTTATATTCTCTTCTTTCTCTTCATGACACAAAGTCTCCAATTCTATGGAAGTCCTTCCATCCACAAGGAGCAAGCCATCGGAAAAATTACCACCAAAGAATAATCTTCAGATTATGAATATTCCTTGATTCTAATGACAAAACGACATGAGTTTGGCTTTATAAAAGGTGCTTTTACTGTGTGAAACTTGATTAAAGGCCATGCGAGTGAGAAAATTCATGCATGCTCGGTGAAAAGACAATTCCAAGCAAAGATGTTTTAACTTCAAACCTATGATCGGCAACTCATCCATAGTGCTCTATATGAAACCATGTCACTCAAACGCAACGCTTGAACGATTTTGAATCGAAATCCTAAACGGAAATGAATGTGAACAACATTTGGTCCTAAGAGAGCGAAGCACAATATTATGACATCTTGCTCTGGCCCTCAACACCCTAAGCAAGGGGTCGTGTGCACAAAAGTCACAATATAACAGTTTTCAAATACCAGAGTCTACAAAATACTCAATCCACTTATCTCCTTGTTACACATATATTCTTCAATCATTATCGGCAAGAAATCCAAGGTCCGCATACCCATATACGTGTGGTTCTTGAAAGTTGTTGTGCCTGTAGCCCTTCTTGGGGTGAACAACGTAAATTTTTTTATTCTTATGGTATTTGTTTTTTGTTTTGTTTCTCGTACTTTATTTACCAAAAATCAACCTGTTAGGTTTAGAACTTTTGCGCATAATACACATTATCTTCGAAATGCAAGCTTACTCTCTAATAATAAATAAAATGGAATTTTTGTATATATTTCATTTGTTCTTTATTATCGTTCTATATTTGTGTAGGGATAGTTTGGTCTACACTAAATATATATTGTACATAAGCCCTTTTAGGGTTTCATTCTTATTTATGAGAATTGGCCACATATTCTATTTATCTCTATGTCTCTCTCGCTTTCATCTTTGTTTTCTCGAAATCTATCATGGTATTAGAGCACTAAATATCAGATTATTTCTTTGCCTGTGCTCATGCAAGTTATTCATTAATTCATTCATTGCTGATCATAGATTATCGTATTTTTTTGTGAAGTTCAATTAATGGATTGATTTTTGGTGTTATTTTCTCAAACTTGACGGTAAAGAGAGATATCTATTTGTTTCAACTCTAGAGGGAGAAAGTTCATCATTTTTTTGTTCTTTTGCTTTTGCTTTTATTTATCCGTTTTTTCTCTCGACTACCTTTCTTTCGTTTTTTTCTTTTGATTTACTTTCATCCATTTTTTTTGCAACATTACTTAAGCCTTTTATTTGCTTCCTCCAACACCCTTTCTTTCATGGTCCATCTTATTTTTGTGCATCTAAACCTCAATGTTGGCACATGGCTATGAATGAGGAAATTACAGCTTTAGAGGCGAGCCACACTTGGGATTTAGTTCCACTGCCCACTAACAAATATGCTATTGGTAGTAAATGGATTTATAAGGCTAAGTTGTGGGCTGATGGCATCCTGGACCGGCACAAAGCACAATTAGTTGCACAAGTTTATGCCTAAGAATATGCCATTGATTATGAATAAACTTTTGCTCATGTTGCTAAGATGACTACAATTCGTACTCTTTTTGCACTAGCTTCACTTCATGACTGGCCTATGTAGCAGATGGATGTCAAAAATGTTTTTTCTTAATGGAGAACTTCAAGATAAAGTTTATATGTGCCAACCACCTGGGTTTGCTACTCTAGATGCGTCAATGATCTATTGACTTCGTAAGGCAATTTATATTCTTTAACCACCTCCTCGTGCATGGTTTGAGTATTTTACGGATGTCATTTTTGTAACTGGTTTCATTAAAAGTAAACATGATCACCCCATGCTTATTCATACCACAAAGCATATCATTGTATTATCTTTCTATATGTTGATAATATTCTCATTTTTTGATATGATTTTACTTCCAACAGAAATGTGAAGCTACGATTGCGAAAAGAATTTAAAATGAAGGATCTTGGGGAAGTATCTTATTTCTTTGGCCTTGAAATCACTCGTTCTAAATGTAGTATTTATACCCATCAATAGAAGTATGCAGTTGATCTTATTTTCAGTGCCCGTTTGAGGTTGTGGATACACCAATGGAGCTCAATTTTAATTTTTTTGTGCATATTGGAGATCCTCTTCCTAGGCCTATAATGTATCACAAACTCATAGGCTCCCTCATCTATTTCACTATGACATGCCCAGATAATGCATATGTTGTCCATGTTGTAAGCCAATTTGTTTCAGATCCTCGACAACCACATCTATCAACGGATGACTTAATCTTATGCTATGTTCGAGGCACTTTCAATCGTAGGTTATTTTTTGCCACCACGTCCTCTTTAGATCTAAGTGCATATACTAATGTACATTGGACAAGTGATCCAGACACTTGCCACTCTCCTACAAGATATTCTGTACTTCTTAGATCCACCTTAATATCATAGAAGAACAAAAACAATATATTGTCTCCAAGTCAAGTACTGAAGCTGAGTATCGTGCTATGTCTGCTATTGCTAATGAGATTATTTGGGTTTGTGCTTTTCTTAATGACTTCGATGTCACTATTTCAGATCTTATACCTTTATATGCTGATAACAAAGTACAATTAAAATTGCATCTAATCTAGTCTATCATGAGAGGATAAAACATATTAATGCAGATTGCCATTATGTTCGTGACAGCTACCTTGATGTCACATTATCTCTCCCTTTCTTCTACTGCACAAACGACTGATATTTTGAATAAATCTATTACTCAAAAACGCCATGATTTTCTCTTTGATAAGTTAGTGCTTTCCTCATGTCCGCATCAGCTTGAGGGGTGGTAATAATAAATAAAATTTTATTTTTGTATATATTTCATTTGTCTTTTATCGTCTTTGTATATATGTGTAGGGATAGTTTGGTCTACACTAAATATATACTGTATATAGACGCTTTTACGATTTCATTCTTGTTTATAAGAATTGGCCATACATTCTATTTATCTTTAAACTCTCTCTCTTTCATCTTTGTTTTCTCGAAATCTATCACTCTCTTCAAAATACAAGCACTCTTTCTTTCCTAAGTATCTAGGGCATAAGAGCTAAATTGCATCTTACCAGACTGGAAAAAAAAAAAAGGAAAAGAAAAACACATAGATATGCTAGCTTGTTTGGGTTTCTTCGACAAACTTCAGAATTTTGAATCCTCGATCATCTAAACCAATTTGTACATCTATTGCAGCACTTAAGGGATAAGTACTGTCACTATTAAACTGGAAAAGAAACAGAAAATGTTACCAATTATCACCAGTGCTACTATGAAGTGTTTCATGGAGTTGCCACAAGGAACGAAGGGTTTTTCATATGCACAGCAAGCCCGAATTTTGGGTAAATTATGAAGATCTCTCCTACCATTTCGTTTTTGGGCTAGAATTTGACCAACAGGAAGAGGAAATCGTTCAATAAATATTATAAGCTATATACAAACACTTTTTATGATATAGCTTTATATAAGTCTCTTCAAGCTTTATACTATAGTCATGGGTAGCTTATACAATAGCTAGCAAAATTGCTTACAAATGAATGCCAAAGCGTTTGTATATATGTTTCTAACAAGTTTTAGTACTATATCAGGGAGGGGTTAGAGATTAGCGAAAACCAGGATACTATATAAGTGGTTCGCTTAACCACTTCATGTGTCTAGCTTATAAGTTTTAGCCTCACATTGGAGAGGTGTAAGAGTTTATTGGGCGGCAAGGCAATACAAATATAGTTTACTCTATGCATAAGGTTCACTGATTGCACATAATAAATAGAAAAATAAAAAGTCAATAAAAAACAAAAAACTGGGAACTGGGACCTGGGAACTGGACGATTCAGTTTAGTCCAAATCCCCCAGTTCTCTGATGAAAATTGCTAGGTGCATAAGAACTTGGCCAATCCTGGTTCCCATTGGAAACCGGCCCAATCATCACTAGTTCCATACTGAGATCAACTGATTTCTAATCGCTGGTCTGTCAAACATTGACCAAACTCCATGTTACGCATATAATCCTTAATAATGTGCTGTTGTGGCAGTTTTTAGTTTTTACCCTCCAACTTCGGTTTACTTATCCTCCAACTTTGGGTTATTCGGATTACATTAAGTCATGCCTTACTCAATGAGCCATTCTGTATTCCAAGCTCATGGGTGCGCACCAATGCTTGCAATTATAGAGGGATTTTCTGTACATCACCATTGGAGGGCTCTTCAGAGCTTGTAGTCATTGGTACAGATCTCAACCTTGGTTTGAAGGGACCTTTCTCTGATCTCTCTAATTGCTAATCTCTCTCCACCTCAAAACCAACAGGTTCAAAGGCACATTCCCTGAGTTTGGACTTTCTCTAGCTGAGAACGTTTGAGCAACAGCATATTTACAGGGCCCTTCCCTTTTGTTGTGTTATAATTCTGGTCTCATATACCTTGACATTGGATTCAATAGGTTTCGTGGGGTTTTGTTTGATAACTACCTATTTCTTTACATGGTATACGAACTTAGTTTTGCATGTGGCGGAAATGATGCCATCCAATTGGCATACTTTCTATGAAATGCGATCACTCTCTTCGTCCTTGCTGTGTACAGCCTAAGAGCTAACTCACAGCTTACTTCAATTGGAAAAAAAGAAAGAGAGATACATTAGCTTGTTGGATTATTTGGGAAAAATTTCATCACTCGCCTCTGAGTTCGCCCACTATCGACTTAACACGGCACCTAACCTTTCCTGTCACCCTTTCCCTTTAAGCTGACAAGGGTTCGAACCCTGGAGGTGAAACCAAAATGAAAATTAGCATTACTAAAGAATTGGAAAAGAACACAGAAAATGTTAAAAATCGCCACACTGTTAACATGAAGTGCTTGCCACTAGTAGCAAAGGGGTTTTCTTGAGCACTGTGAGCCCTGAATCTTCTGTCATGTCTAGATCCTTAAGATTCATTCCATTAGGCAATGCCCAATCAAAACAAAGCAAGAGATTGGCCAATGCAAGCTCGATAACACTTGCAGCAAAGGAAATTCCAGGGCCCCCCCTTCGGCCGGCCCCAAATGGTATCAGCGCAAAATCTTGGCCCTTGAAATCAATATCACTACCTATAAACCTTTCGGGTCTAAACACTTGTGGGTCTACTCAATAGTCTGGGTGCCTCCCAATTGCCCAAGCATTCACCAAAACTCTGGTCTTTGAAGGGATAAAGTAGGCTTTTATGTCGCAATCCTCTACCGATTCATGAGGAACCAATAATGGAGTTGGAGGGTGCAATCGCAAGATCTCCTTCACCACTGCTTTCAGGTAATGGAGCTGGTGTAAGTCTCTCTTCAATCATGTTTGTGTTACTGCTTTTAGCTATGCTGCGTAATTCGTCTTTGGCTTTTTTCATTGCCAATTGGTTCTTCATCAGCACAGACATTCCCCATACTAGTGTTGTTGCAGTGGTATCTGTCCCAGCTGCAAACATATCCTGCAAACATTCACAATTCAGTGTTCAGCTTATAGCGACTAATTAACAATGTCGACCAATGTGGCTGCCATTAAAGGTACTTGCGGTATATGTATATATAGATCACACTTTTCTGGTAATTGCTTTTCTGGTCATATCATACTTAATGACTCAAAACAAAGAATATGTGGTGACATATCATACTTTTCTGGTTATTGCTAAATTTTAATGTTAGATGACCTTTGCCAGATGTATAGAAGGGGAAGTTCAAAACTTAACTTTGGCTGAAATCAATGCCCTTTTCCTTTTTCTTTTCTTTTTTTTGATAAGTTAATGGCGACAAATGAGGGTGGGGCTTACGTTGAGGCCTCAGCCCCCTGCACCACCGACACCCGAAGCCCATTACCCATGCTAGTCAATCATAATTTGGCAAATATATTCCTCATTTTTGTTAGTTGAGCAGTAGGATTTCAAACATGCATCAAAAATACCAAATATATTTATATATAATTGAATAATTGGAAAATGTTAATAATTACTTATTTTTTAGTTGCACCAGATTTCAATATTAAAACTACTTGGAGAAAATTAAAAAAAAATCAAATTCCAAGGAGCAGTGCAGAATTTTTATTGCTGGAGAGAGAGAGAGAGAGAGAGAGAGTAGT